AACACACCTTGCCTTCACCCTGGGAACACACCTGGCCTTCACCCTGGAAACACACCTGGCCTTCACCCTGGAAACACACCTGGCCTTCACCCTGGGATCACACCTGGCCTTCACCCTGCCTTCACCCTGGAAACACACCCGGCCTTCACCCTGGGAACACACCTGGCCGTCACCCTGGGAACACACCTGGCCTTCACCCTGGAAACACACCTGGCCTTCACCCTGGGAACACACCTGGCCTTCACCCTGGGAACACACCTGGCCTTCACCCTGGAAACACACCTGGCCTTCACCCTGGGAACACACCCTGCCTTCACCTTAGGAACACACCTGGCCGTCACCCTGGGAACACACCTTGCCTTCACCCTGGAAACACACCTTGCCTTCACCCTGGAAACACACCTTACCTTCGCCTTGGGAAGATGTCTTACCTTCGCCTTGGGAACACGCCTTGCCTTCACCCTGGAAACACACCTTGCCCTCACCTTAGGAAGGTCAAAGTGAAGGCAAAGTGTGTTCCCTTCCTTTTCTTTCCATTTCTTTTCTCCAAGGAAAGATACACGCTTGTTTCAGCCAAGCTGTGGGACTATTTTCATGCACGGATTTGAGCCCCCTCTTTTCTGTGTTTAAAATAAGGAATCTCACATGGCTTGGAATTTAGAAAGAAAACTAGGCAGAGACTAGATAACAATCATACAGACTGTGGAAAGCCCTGAACCTGACGACATCAAACAGGCTGATTCCCACCATCTGGGAGGGAGAACAGGGCTCAGAGTGGAATGGTGAGAAGAGAGGAGTCCGCAGAAGATGTGCCTTTGAGATAAAGAACATTCCACACACTCCCTCCCCTCCTTCTCTAATAACTGTCCCCACTCTTCACATGCAGTAAAGGATACTTGGGAGTGCTCATCTGTTCTCCAGAAGACAAGACCAGAGTTGGCTTACAGCTGTTTAAAGCCCCTACTCCATGCCTGGGTCTACCAGTCCTGCCAGCTCTGCCATCTAAACTCACCCCCCTCTCTCTTGCCAAAGCAAAATGGAGATACAGTTATTTTTCCTAAAAGTTTGTTAGAATGCTTAAAGGAAAGTCATAATAGAATCAAATTTATAGGAAAGTCTGCATACATGTCAATCACACTGTCACTATCTAGACTGATTGCTAGTCTAGTTAGACTAACTGGGATTTTAGGCAGTGGTGATTTGTTTTTGCTGTACTCAGTTCAAGCTGGTTGCTCAGCTTCCTTTAAGCACCTCTAGGAGCTGGTGGGTTATAGATTACCTAGGTGGGGGGTGGTTGCGGTTTTTCTTGCTACTGCCAGATATTGTCTAGTCTGCAGTTTTCCTGCACTTCCCTAGTACTGTTCTGGGAAGAATCATTCTTATTCCAAACATTTCTACATCTTCCACTCCATCTCTGCCATGAGTTCACGAGGGATGGAGGTGGCCTTTGGGGACAACTGAGAAGCTAAAAGGCAGGTTTGCTAGAAGTCCTGTCTTAAGCCAAGCTTGGAGGAGGATATAACCTGATTCAGTCACTTGGGCTTTTCCCACAGGTGCCTAATAACTGTGGATGCAGTCACGAGCACCCGTATGAGGCCACTAGCTTATTTAAGATGGTTCTTTTGCAAATAGTACTTAGTTACGGGAGGCTCAGTATTGTCTGTTGCTCATGGAACTTGACTGCTTGATCCAGGAGCACAGTCACACACATGCGTATACTTTAAAATATTTATCCTGAGGAGCCCTGATACTTTGCCATTCAAATTCTTTTAGCAAGTGTTAGTCCTTTGCCTAACACAAAGAAGGTCACTGCATAATTCCTTAATTTTACCCTATGAAGATGCTTTAGAAAAAAATACTCTTCTTTTCTTCATTCAACAAACATCCTTGCCAGTATTCATCACCCAGTCTATCTCTTTTTATTTGTTCCCTCTGAGGACTAACAGCTGATTTTTTTTATCTTGCCCAAATTCCTTTTTAAGGAGTCTGGGGAGTCATGCCCTATAAACCATACATTCTCATCAGATAGGTTTTATTTAACCCTGTATATCATGAATTACTTTCCAATTTGACTCTGGCATAACATTATGTGCCAAAGAAAGTCAAAAGATTTTATTCCAAAACATGTTTCTTTGCCATATTTTGAAATGGCCCTGCAGAGCTGTCCTTTGTGGGAGAAAATGTGCATCTGGAAAAAATCTATTAACATAGCTAGATCTTTTTATTGCAGGCCCTCCAATCCTGAAGAGATTAAGTAAGAGTCTAGCACCTTTTAAAGATCTGAACAGGAAACATTTGTATCTATTGTCTCTAAGGGCAGCCACTATAAGACTTCAAAAGAAACTTGGTCTCCACAATCTTTTTTATTAACTTGAACATTTTCTTTCTGTTGGTCCCAGGTCTTTAGACAAACTCAACTGTCAACCAGAAAATGTTTAAATTTACCCATAGCCCCCTTCACTCCCTCCCACACCTACCCCTGTGCCTCCTCCACCCCACCACACTTTGAGTTGTCTCATCCTTCTGGACCAAACCAAAACATTTGATCGATGTCTCATGCCTCTCTAAAATGTATAAAACCAAGTGCACCCTGATCACCTTGGGCACATATTCTGAAGCCCTCCTGAGGGCTGTGTCACGGGCCAGGGTCACTCATATTTGGCCCAGAATAAATCTCTTCGAATATTCTACAGAGTGTGACTCATTTCATTGACACCTCCCAGACCAACAGTGAGACTCAGTGAGAATGAACTGCAATTGCAATAGTGTTCTGTCGGGTTAAGAAAGCTGTCACAGAAGGTTTGCTAATGCCAGGATGTGGTCTCAGGTCAATTTAGAAACATTCAAGACAGACCACAGAATTATTCCTTGGGTCTCCTACTGTCTCTGTTTCCTTAGTTCAGCAGATGAACAATCTGACCAAAAAGCAAGGCCAAAGGTTTGATCTTCAAGGGGACTGATTAGCTTCTCCCAGTACACAATGCAGCCTCTATACCAACTCCAGTCATTCTGCACACAACCCAGGCTGCCAGTCAGGGCCTGGGGAAGGGACAAGAGGGAGGAGTTTATGAAAAATCCTGTTGCCATGATTCCAAAGCAATTCAAAGCACGCACTGCCTCACATCCCCTCTGCATATCAAAAAGAACACATTTTTAAAATCATCTAGGTATTGATATAAGGTAGAGAAGACTATAAGCAGAGAATAGTGTTCAAGAAGTGATATGTAGGGAATCGGGGGAAGATGGCTGACTAGGAACAGCTCAGGATTGCAGCTCCCAGTGAAAGTGCAGAGGGTGAGTGGATGCCGCATTTCCAGATGGATTTTTATTGCCCACAGACCAGGAGATTCCCAGGCGGAGAGCCCCACGGCTTGCCAGCACAGCTGTTTCTGCCAGTGCGGCTCTTTCGGCCGCTGCAGCTGTTTCGGCCCGCGCAGCTGCTTTGCCTGCGCTCTGGCGCGGCGGTTCCCCGTACAAAATACACTGGTCCGGGTGCCCTCTTAGCTGGTGATTGGAGCCCTGAGACGGCAGAGGCGCCCATTCATCTGAAATAGTGAGCAAGGCCCGGGGATTCCTAGGCAAAAAAATTGCCAGGAATCTCAGCGCTGCTGTTTCAGCCGGCTCAGTGAGTCATAGCTGGAAGATCCCGGCGCCTTTTCAACAGGCGACTGGAACACTGGGTGAGAGCTGACCGTTCAACAACAACAACAAAAAAAGACTGTGAGTCAGGGAGCCAGGTGATCAGGCTCGGCTGGTCCCACCCACCCTCCCCCCACACACAAAAAAACCAACAGTAATTGAAAATGCTCTGGGTTGAGAGTTTCACAGCAAGCACAGCTGAACCCGGGACGGTCCGGCTCTGTGGGGGAGGGGCGTCTGCCATTACTGAGACACTCCACCACTATGGAGGCAGTCTGACCAACGCTGAGGCAGCCCGCCATTGCTGAGGCAGCCCGCCATTGCTGAGGCAACCTGCCACTACAGAGAGAGTCCGCCATAACAGAGGCGGGCCACCATTGCCAAGGCAGTTCTAACTACACCCATATAAACAGGACTGCAGGGAAGATCACA